AGTGTGCAGCATGACAGAGGAGCTGACAGAGAGCAGAGCTATGACAGTATCACAGTGAAGTGCACTGATTAATTTGAAAACTCTCGCTGTGGGTCACTGGCTTCCAGTGAAGAGGTTTCATGTGAGTGGGTGAGGGAGGTAAGGCACAGCTGCAGCCCACTCACACAGAGCGCAGAGGACATCTAACAGCCAAATACACACAGATGTTACAGGAAGGTTTAGAGCAGAAGTGATCACATGAAAACATTTTATCCTTTGAGTCAAAATGTCAGCGAAGCCTAACTTGTCATGTGTTAAGTGATTTTTGGCAACAGACTGAGCTCGAGTAGGAAACGACAGGTGATGGAGTGTAATACTGAAGTTTGCAAACACATTTAAAAATACAATAATCAGTACAATATCACTGGATCTCAGTTTACAAAAAGTATTGATTTTAACTTGAACTCAACTAGTTCCACACCAATATCTGTAAAAAGGACTACAATTAATTTTAGTGTCTGCCACAGTTGATTAGCTGTGGTGGCCATCTTTTAGATGTACTGTACATCCAGTGAGTTTTTTCCACAATACGTCTGGTGGTTCAGAAATATTTTGCTAACAGTCAAACAGACCTATTGTCAAATTTTACAAATAGCTCTCACATGTCCTTATTGCTCCTCACAGTTCCAGGAACTCGTCTTAAGCGCAGAGGTGACAGGGCTTTCGCTGTAGCAGGACCAAGACTCTGGAACGAGTTACCTCTGCTTGTCAGACAGGCCCCCTCCCTCTCGGTTTTCAAGTCCCATTTAAAAACCCACTACTATTCAATAGCATTCAACACCAGATGATCTGTGTTTTGAACCTGTACGCTCCACACTGGTTAGTCGTCATATTTATTATGTGCATCGTTTTTATGTCTATATTCTGATTTACTTCATTTTGTATATTGCTTCGTGTGTTGCCTGTTGTTCTGTCTGTACAACACTTTGGTTGGCATTGTGTAAGGATCCAGCCCTGCACCCTGCCTTTCTCTCTCCTCATCACTCCTAATTGGCTCCAGCTGCAGATGATCAGCTCTACACCCAGGAGGAGTATAAGAAGATTCAGGAACCACTCTGCAGGCGCTGGGACATTGCCTACCAACGGTAGTAGTGTTCTGGCCAATATTCAGTGATATTAGTAAATACTAATATTGTGTTTTTCCTCTGCGCTTCCTCAGAGTTTGGATCTAGTTGTACCTGCCCTGCCTGAGTTCCACATGAACTGTGACTCCTCCTGCCTAGCTACAGTTGCTGGATGCCTTCCACCACTTGCCTCAATCTACTTGTTTTGCTTCACCTTGTGCCACTGGACATCTTCAGGATAATACCTTCACCTGCTTCACACCGTAAGAATAAATCTATAAGATATATTCTCATTCAACCGCAGCCCTCTAAATCATCGCTCTCTCTCCAGGTGTTCCCGTTCCCCTCATTCATATTGTATATATCACCAACCTGTAAATAAACACTTTAAACTATTCTCTGAGTCCTGGTCTCTGTTCAGTTTCTGGTCTTTCATTCTGGGTACACCGCAATCATTACACCTTGTTGCTTTTTTAAGTGCTCTATAAATAAAATGGTATGGTATGTCAAACATGGATGTAGTTGAGTCCTCTCTCTCATACTGCAGGTAGTAGAGAGATGACTCTACTACATCCGTTCCTAATTTTAGATCATTATCTATAGAATGACAGACGTATGACCATTTTCACATTGGATGAGGTCAGTAGCTGCAACAGCCATCCTGAAGGAGATATTTTGCCAACACACAGCCATTATTCATTCAACCTTTAATTATACAGGTTATTCTCATTGAGTCACGAGGACTCATTTACAAGAGGGACCTGAAAAAATTTGGGGAAAAACAACTAAAAACAAGAACATATTTGCTTTGATTTTTCTATCGACCCTATCAATAGTTTAAAATCCCTTAAAGAGATCGAAGTGGACAGCTTCAGATCTTTCTGTAAGGTGGTCCAGGTTATAAGAGCAGAGTAGGAAAAGGCCTTTTTGCCGAGTTCAGTCTGCACTTAGGGAACGCTGCAGGTAATGATGGACTGAGAGCACATGCCGTAACTGCACTGACGACGTGACATGTGGGAGGAGATGTATGAAGGCAGCAGACTAAGAAGTGATTTAAAGATGAAAATGAACCAGTGAGAGTCTACAAGTAGTTAATGACTACAGAGGGCAGTGATGGGAACGGTAGTTACAACTAGTGCTGTAATCAAGACCACCTAACCCGAGACCAAGTCAAGACCAAGACCAGAGTGTACCGAGACCAAGACCGAGGCAAGACCAAGACTTATGGGGTCCAAGATCAAGTCAAGACCAAGACCTCAAGTCTTGGAGCTCAATCTTTTCACAGATTATCTGTCTTATACTATACTGTCACAACATAGTGACGTTTTAACAGATATGTAAGTTACATACTGCAACTTTAAGTTTGCTTTGAATGAATGTATCAGCTTTTATGAATTTTCAAACCTACATAACCAAGAAATCAGACATTCAGTGGTTTTTGCACAATAATTTTCATATTGTGTGACCCACTGACACAAAACTTATGTTAAATTACTCTACTAGACCTGACAGATGAGGCACCCTCATATTTCTCATTTTAAAGCATTTTCTAATTTTACATTATTTATTTGTTCAAAAATCATTGTTTTCGCTAAATAACTAATTAGAAAATGCTTTAAAATGAGAAATAAATGATGGAGTCTTGTGTGTCAGGTCTTTTAGAGTAGTTTAACATTAGTTTTATGTCAGTGGGTCGAATGATGTGAAAGATCCAACATTTTTCAGTCAGGTCATCTGGACAGTTTCTGTTTTTGTGCTGAAACGTTTCACCTTCAGTCTGGAAGGCTTCATCAGTCTGGTTCTGGTTTATTCCACTGTGGAGTAAGCTGTTGGGGGAAGAATCAGTTTTGTGTTGTGTGTTTCTTTGACTGATGAAGCCTTACGGATTGAAGGTGAAACGTTTCAGCACAAAAACAGAAACTGTCCAGATGACCTGACTGAAAAATGTTGGATTGTATACCTGGATTATTGAGCATGGACTTTGATATGAAAGATATAAATTTTTGTTTCTGAAGAGTGTTTAGTTTGGTAATTTGTTGACGGTCCCTAAGTGAACCATTACATCTCGGAGAAGGGCAGACTGAGTGCAGCTGACTGAAATCAGACTGCGTGCTTCGGATCGAATGAGAGGAACACACCGCTGAAGCCACAGAGCTCGAATGTCCAACGTCCAATGTAAAACTAACTTCACCGCGGTAGAGAAACGAGGCTCCGACAGAGCACGAGCAGGTCAGAAACAATTTGATATGTGAAAAACAAGTTATTTATAAACAGATTAAGTCATATTTTAGACTACTTATTGCTAGACAATCTATTCTGACCCAAAGTGCAGCCGTGACTGGTTCTGAATGAGGCTTTACAGCAGACAGCTGCTCCCCTCTCTTCCAGGTACTGCGTACCGGTGCAAAATGTTTTAGTGGTACGCAGTACTGGACTGTTTGGCTTACTTTCACTCGTGGTTGCAACGTTACATTCTGTTGTCTGTATTGTTCTGTTGGTACAGAACCACGTACGAGTGAAAGGGGGTGGGCGTGACAGCTGTAATAAAAACATGTATTTAGCAATGAGTCACGTTATCGCTTGGATTTGAACCAGTACATTTTGTGTCCAATAAAAACAAAGGTGTTAACAAATAAACTGGACAATATTCTGGCAATTTAGTGATATTCCCACAGTTGTGGTCTTGACTGGTCTTGAAATAAAATCCAGAGTCCTCAATGTCCGAGACCGAGACAAGACCGAGACCAAATGCGGTCAAGTCCAAGACAAGACCAAGACCATCAAAAAGTGGTCTTGAGACTGGTCCCGAGTACTACAACACTAGTTACAACCAGTTATGAATCTTAGCGTGTCATGATGGACAGCATCCAGCATCTGCAAGAGCT